CAGTAAGATTTAGAAGGGGAAATTTTCTTCAGGGTTTTTTTTTCCTTAGAGTTATTTCCTTCTGAAATACTTCTTATGATAAAATGAGCTAAAAGATCTAGGTCTGAGCAGAATGTTCTGGTTTTACAATATAAACACTTGGTTCAGTCTGGGATTGTTTTCACAGAGAATTTAAACATTTTGGGGCTTCTTTTTCTTAAGTGAAAATAGGACCAATTTTGCATCTCTTCACCATACAGAATTTCCATTCTTCCTCTGAAGACTCTTCTGCTATTTCATTAAAATCATTGGTTTATTCTGAGTACCATCTCACACTGGTATCCATTTCTGGTCCATTATTCTCCGTGTCAAGATTTTCACTGATTTCAGTGGAAGGATGGTGATTTTTGCAGAGTATCAACATAGATTAGCAATCCCAGGAGTGATCTGAAATCCAGCTCCACAATGATTTTGTAGGCAGCCTGAGCTCAGTTGCACCTGGAATAGTTTCCCACATTGTAACTGATACTGTGACATTTTTGAGAAGGATTTGGGGCGTTCCAAGCCCTGCAGTGACAGCTACGAGATGTCACCAGAGGGGCGGCTGGGATGGATGACAGTGGCTAGAAGAGCTGCAGCGTGACAGGGCCTTTATACAGCTAACTTGTGTGTACCTGTACCACTCAGAACTCAGAGCACAGCTGAGTTTCTCCCCCAGTATCAAGTGGGACTGAGAGAGCCCTGAGGTGCTCTAGGAGTAAAGTACTCTAAGCAATAAGAATCTGGTGCCAAGCCTGGTTTCTGTGCCATTCCTGTACTGCCATATAGGTAGAGCCAGAGGGACTGAAGGAAAAGTTGCCTTTGCAGAATTTTGTAGGCAAAGATATGAAATCTGGAATGCTGGTAGCCCTTACTAAAGGCATAGCTGTTACGAAAGAGAACTGAAATACCACAAACATTAGGAAAATTATAATTTCAAGCTCATTTCAGGGTCTGATTGTGACTGGATTCTCCTAGCTCTCTTTGACAACAGAGAACTGATGATGCATTTTAAACTATTAAACCCTAACCATTTAGTAGCGTTACTATTTTTAGAAGAACACGTGTCTTGAATTAACAGATTTAAACTAGTGCCAAATGCTGTTTGTATTCACAGAATCCGAGCAGTTGTGTGCGTTGAGGTAGATCCTCCGCGACCCTGGGCATTGGGCAAGAGTGGCGTATTGCCATGTCTGCATGGCACGCGCTTCTCTGCCAGGAGCATTGCTGGGCACACCTAACCTGCCCTCCCCACACGTGGCTGTCATTTCCATCACAAGAGCATCTCCTGACTTTTTATTTATTAGCTCAGCTCTTTTCTGTATTCATTAAGTTGTCCAAGATTACCTGTCACAACTTCTGCGCTTGCTTTCTGCATATTATTACACCTTCTTAAAGCATCTGTGCAACCACAGCCAGGGTGTCGTCACAAACTTTACAATTACTATTTAACAGATAATGTGTATTAGACATGAACCCCCCCCATCCAAAAACTGAAGCAGTTCCATTGTATGAGAGAATCAGCAGGATTTTGGGGGCAGAATTCGTACCACTAGGTCAGAGTCTGGTGTAGGTCAGGTTTCTGTGCCAGAGTTCTGCCTTATGCCCGGCTGTGCTGTTGTAAGCAGGATTTGACCCATTTCATCTGCATCAGTACTGAGGCCAGAGTGGAATTTCGGGTTGTATTTGCTAAATTAGCCAAAAGCAGCACCAGGGATACATTTGCATTTAGATCAGAATCTACTTCTCCCAGCAGCTTCTTTTGCAAAGAAGCCAAAGAGCAGTCAGGAGGTTCTCTGTACTCTGATGATTTTTAAATTCTTTTCTTTTTCCTCTCTTAATCTCTCCAGTCTGTGCCCTTAAAATGAAAATAAAATCATAAATTTAATTTGGGAGCCGCTTCACATTTTCTGAAACACGAACTCCCAGGGGAGGAACACGACGGCTGTTGGACAGCCTGCAACGAGAGCGTACACACAGCTTTTTACTGCAAGAGTTGCCAAATCTGTCACTGCTAGTTCAAGATTACAAAAGAGGTTGTAGTATAATTTTTATTTACTTTTCTGGTAGTCTGCTGAGGATTTAGTAACATTCCCAACACCTATTATTTCTAAACTTTTTCCAAGACATGATGCAGCCTCAACAAAGGAGCTCATGTATGATTTTTAGAGTTAGATGATAATGTATATGTAAATAATGCTTTGATATTAATAAAACTGCCTTAAAGGAATGTACCTAGGTGTGAAACAAAACTTAAAGCTCTTATTTAAAACTGTAATTTCCTTTACATATTGATTTTTTTTAATGTTTGCCATTGTATACATTTATTAATGATGTTATTAAAATGCCAAACCAAATAATTTTTATTCTTATTTTGTGTGTAAATTTACACACACACTTTCTGGAAACTGATGTTGCTGGAAGGATATTGGTGTTAAGTAATGGCGTTGTGGTCAGTTGGTGATGTGTTCAGTGAGTATTTCTTCCGGAAGGAAACCGATAAAACCGTAGCAGAATTTTTCTGGACAGTGTGTTGTTTGTTTCGTGTTGTTTATTTGTGTAGACCTGTGTGGGTTTCAATTTTACACTATTTTGATATTATTTAAAAAAAAAAAAGACACTAATTTCCTAAGTAAATACAGAAAGAATCATTATAGATTTGCCAAATGTAGTATCTGAAGCTTTGATTTTGCTTGGTCGTTATTTTTGCCGAGACAAGTCTCAGAATCTCTTCTGAGGACAAAGGTAGTGTAGATTTTTAAGATTTGTGCAGCATAGTAAACTGCTATTGTGCACGTCTTTAAAACAATTTTTGCATTTAAAACTTTCTCAGTTTAAAAACCTTGACAAGTCAAATTTAGTATTTTTTTAAAGTGATAAAGGATGTTGGGATACCACAAAGAAGAAACCTTAAAGGGGAGGCAGAGTGAGTGGCAGACAGAGGGCAACATAAATTTTACTTTCAAAGACACGTAAGACTGCATCTTAATATCTGTCTAATTTAGTAACGCATTTCTCAATCCAGAGTTCATTCATCAACCTAATATTCCCAAATACCAGATGTTCCTTTCAGTCTTTTATTTAATAACAAATATAAAATCACATGTACCTGGACATCTTCCTAGTGACTCTTCCTATTTGTTCAACATTTTTAGGTCAATTCTTTTTCTATTCGAGATGACGGCCATGATAGGTGGGCTTGGTTTGTGTCCTTCTGAGGTAGAGGGGAGAATTTAAACTGCTGTGTCATGACATACTCTGTCATTAAGTTCACGTCTCTGAGAACAAGTGCCAGATCCTTCAGAAACGAAGGGAACCATGGTAGGGACCTTTGTGAACTAACTTGCCTTGCCCTAGAAGACACTTTTTCTTCCTTAGTTAACGGTAGCTGTTAATTCTGTAGAATTAAATATTTCACCTTTCTTGATAGAAAAAAACAGCCCAACGCACAAATGTTGATGTTCACATAGAACTGTCGCAGCCATATAGAATGAAACTGAGTCAAATTGGCTAGTTTCTGCCTTTTGTTTCTTTTGAAGTATTTCCCTTTTTAGTGTTGCATCCTTTAGTATGGTGCAGTAGCAAATTGTCATCCAAGATCGCAAGTCCTTTTGTGTGTTTTTTTTCTTCACTCTTCTGTAGTCTTTATTTCCGTTCTGTCTCAACTTGCGTTCACACTATTGCTTGCCTTTAGGCGTAGTTCGTACGTGACATGTTCAAAAGCCCTCTTCCCCATCATCTTCAGATGTGGTCCCTCACTTTCACTGCTCCCATCTCTGGGTTTTGTGTGGGTACTCACTGGCACAATATATGTTTCCGGGACTTCTTGGAGTTTCTGCTGCTTCTGTCTTCCACACAAAATCTGTTTGAAGGGGGTTTTATTCATTTAGGCAGGAGAGAGTTAGATTAGAAATTCAATGTTGAGAATGTACTGGTCTTGTTCTTGTGATAGTAGATACTTTCCTATACTGAATATATTCTCTATTGGAAGCCAAATTGGCCTCCCCTCAGCCTCTTAAGCACATGGATGTTTGTACATGCAGTCCCCTTCTCCTGAAGGGAGAAGCTCAAGTACAGCTATCCTGTAGGTGCTGGTTAAGGGTACGGTGGAGCAGAGAAGATGCACATCCTCCACGGGTTCACAAATGTGTAGAAATTGTGCACAAAAGTTAATACAGTTCCAGGCTTCATTAACTTTCCTCCCAGGTGTCACCGGAACATACAACACCTGATCAGAAACCCACAGTGACATTGCTCCTTGGAGCTCTTCTGCCAGCAGCCAGGCTGATACTGGGCTCACACCCTGCACCGCCTGCTGTCAGATGGCTCCCTCCTGCTCCACCAGTTCTGGGGAGGTTCTAGAGGTGAGGGAGGGATGCGCCTGTTCTCATGGGGCTGTTACCAGAAGGCTTAGTTCCTTCCCAAGGGGAGGATACTGTGGAAGTGAAAATGCAACTAGAAACCTAGACAATCAAAAGCGTTTTCTGTAGGGTAGCTAAGTTGGGTTTTTTTCCTAGGTAAAAATAATAAAGCAATGTGTAGTAGGGGATAAGTGGGTACAGGTACACTATTTAGACATCTCTGTCCTGTGTGTATTGACAAATATTTTATAACTTTTAAGTTACATTGTTATTTCTTGATGATGTTAAGTTTAAATTTTCAAGGCCAGTACCACACACGGAAAGTTCCAGTTTTATCAATTTTATTAATAAACATTATAACATTATGCAAATAATGCCTTTTCTCCTTACTGGTTACTTAGTGGTAGATTGCAAACATGTCTTGTCTTCTTAAGGCTATTCTGTTAAACTTTTAATAACCCGAAGACAGTATTTTTTTTCTTACCAGATTATACAATATAAACTTACACAACTGAAAAAGGAGTAAGCCTGTCTTCAGATTTTGTTTGTAATGAGATTTTCAGGAGTTTTGGTCTTTTGCTTTACAAAATCTATGCCTAGTAATAAGAAAGTGAACTTCATCTAGTTAACGTCTTCATCGAAATGTACGATGATGGGATCATGGCCTGTTGATCTCACAAACTTCAAAAAGTCATCGGGGCTTAAGCCCATGGTTGCAGAATTTGTCATTGGATGAAAATACACCTTTTCATGGCCACCTTCCAGAAATCCAGCATCCAGCACAAACCTCACGTCTCCCTGGTCACAGAACAGGGCAAGGGGTGTCGCACAGCCCTGGCCCACTTTTAGCTTTTCCAGCATGGCATTTTCATCAGCAAATCGTAGGTTTCCGCTTCCAACACCCAGGGTTTTAGCCAGATCGTTTAAATTGACTTGTCTGTCATGCAAAACGCTCACCAGCCAGAACCCTTTCTTCTTTTTGTCTTTAAGAAACAGGTTTTTACTGTGACCTCCTTTCATGTGTTGGACGTGGGGCATCATTTCTTCAACAGTGAACACCTGGAAAATGTATCAGGGTAGCGTGAGACTCTTATTTCCATTACTTCTAGTCACGTACTGGCAGGTATCTTTTGTTACCTACTTCGAAAATCCTGTATGTTATACTCAGCCTCAAAACTGTACCCTCTTATGAAGAAATTTTAAAAGAACACAAATAAAAGGTGACATACTGCTCCTGCACACTTTCCGAATCATTTCTGTCGCATGAATACAGCACGATCACACTTTAAAAACGCAACAAGGCAGCCCTAACAGCACTCCCGTTTGGAGATCCACCACAGGCAGATGGGAATGATGTGGTGCGTGCACTTTTAACTGGGAGCGTGAAAAAGTTTGGAAAGCATCCTAGATGCTGGTAACTTCATGGTCAAGAAGCGGATGGACTGCAGCTCCTGAAACTGCCGAGGAACTGGAGGGGAAAAGGGGCATCTGTGGGACAGAAACACAGCAAACAAACCAGCGGCTGCGCTCAAAACGGCTTTTAAAAAACCCGGAAACATTCTGCCAGGTCCAGCGTCTGTAGGTCCGTTTGGCGAGCAATTCCATATTGATAGTTAATTGCGCTAAAAAAACCCTAAAACACGTACAGGTCCTAAAACTGCCCCGCAGCCTGCTCCGCCCTGTTCGTACGTAGCATTTTATTTCCGGATTTAAAAAGGACCCGGCGGATGCCACGAGGGAGCGCGGCCGGACTCTGCCGCCGCAGCCCGCTCGGTG